AGAAAGAAAGAAAGAAAGAAAGAAAGAAAGAAAGAAAGAAAGAAAGAAAGAGAAAGAGAAAGAAAAGAAAGAAAGAAAGAAAGAAAGAAAGATCAAGAAAGAAAGAAAGATCAAGAAAGCAAGCACGAGGGAGAAAGAGAAAGAGAAAGAAAGGAAAAAAGAGCAAGAAAGCAAGCAAGAGAGAGAAAGAAAGAAAAGAAAAGGTTGCCTTTTGTGAAAAAAAAACCACCTTTGAGCCAATGATTCCATGCACATGTTGAATAAGGGGTGGGCGGGAAGAGCAGGTCCCCACAGCACCGCCACAGAGGAGGGGGCCTAGGGAACAATCTCTCCATCATCCCCCACTCTTCCCCAGCTCTCACTGAGTGCAGAGCCATCTCCAATCCCGGAGCTCAGGATACCGTGATGAACGGCATCCAATTCTACTGAGCAGTGAAGGAAAACCATGAGAGCCACCCCATGCCTACCCCAGGCTCTGCCAAGGTCAAGCATGACCAAGGCTGCCCGAGAGCAGCTGTCGCCGACCAGCGGGCCATGAGAAAATTTTGGAGGTCAAAAAACGGGCCTTCTGGAAATACCGGAAGTGTCGAAACGGCCCACGGCCCACTGGTGGGCCATGAGAAAATGTTGGGGGGCCACAGAGAAATCTCACCCCCAGAGCACCCCACCCCAAAGTAATTAATCCAGACTGTGCAGAAACACAAGGCTGCACCGCCCACATGGCCCGTGGGAACCCTCCCGGCCAACTCACTCTTTACCTGGTAAACTTGCCTGCTAAATTTCTGTTTTCCCTTTTTCCGACCATCAGCTGTTCTGCTGTGCTGGGAGATTTAGATTAGCTAGGAAGCAGGAAATGGTTGGATTTCTTGCTTTCCAGCTAGTCTTTAGATCTTCGGCTCAGCACAGCCGAACCTCCCTTAGGACTGAAGGTTTGCTTGCAAGCAAATTCAGTGCAGACTCACGGCAAGCAAATTTGAGAGACTGAGCTAGCCGATGGCAGATAGATTTCTCAATGCATCTGTCATTCTGTGAGCAACTCAATCTGCCTGCTTTGCCTGATTTTGAGTAAAAGTTGCTCTTTTTTATTAAAAAAAATATCAATATTTACATACATGGTGCGTTGTGAGTTAATTTTGTGAGTTTGCTTGCAAGCAAATTTTATGTGACAGACTCAGGTAGCAGATTGCAAAAAGGTAGATCTCTGAGTGAACCTGTGATTCTGTGAGCAACTCAATCTGCCTGCCTGCTTTGCCTGATTTTGGGTAAAAGTTGCTCTTTTTTAAAATAAAAAATTCAATATTTACATGCATGGTGTGTTGTGAGTTAATTTTGTGAGTTTGCTTGCAAGCAAATTTTATGTGACAGACTGAGCTAGCCAATGGCAGATACATTTCTGAATGAATCTGTGATTCTGTGAACAACTCAATCTGCCTGCCTGCTTTGGGGTAAAAGTTGCTCTTTTTTATATAAAAAATTCAATATTTATATAAATATTTATAATATTTACATATAAGCCATGCCCAGCCAGTCAGATGATTACCAAGCCACACCCACAAATTAGGCCACACCCACAGAACCAGTTAGTGGTCCCTGGGGTCTAAAATTATGAGTTTGGTGGTCCCTGAGGTCCAAAAGGCTGGCGACCCCTGGACTAGAGAACCTGAAACAGGATTGAAACAGGATTAAAATGGGTCTTAAGACAAAACCAAAAGTAGACAAATCTGCTTGAAATGTAGACAATTGAGAATACAGGTAGTCCTCGACTTACGACCACAAGTGAGCCCAAGCTTTCTGTTGCTGAGTGAGACACTTGGCCTCATTTTACAACCTTTTTACGGGCACAGTTGTTGAGTGAACCACTGCCATGGTAAATGAGTGACATGGGTGTTAAGTGAATCTTGGCTTCTCTGTTGACTCTGGTTGTCAGAAGGTCACAAAATGGGATCGTGCGACTCTGGGACGCTGCAACCGTCGTAAATACGAGTCAGTTGCTAAGCGTCCAAATTTTGACCAATGGGGATGCTAAAAATGGTTGCAAGCATGAAATACTTTCCTAAGTCGTTTTTTTTCCCCCCAATGCTGTTTTAATTTTGAACTGTCGCTCAACGAACGGTTGTAACTTGAGGACTACCTGTGTTGCATGAAGTGAAAATGATCAAAATCAAGGGAGGCAAGAAGGAGTTTGCTGAAAAGAAAACTGGGGGGGTGGGAGACAAAGCAATTATTTCTGCAAAAGGCTGCCAGAAAATTCCTGTTGGAAGGTTAAAAAAAAAAAAAGAGATTTTGCAAAACAACCTTCTCTGATTTTTGACGACAAAAATTTACCCATCTTTGGAGGAAACATCTCCAATCGTCGAGTTTTGAATTCAGTGCTTCCCACGCTGAAGGGGAGCCAGAAGATACGAGTAAACCCAATTTAAACTGACATCTCCTGGAAGAATTGCAACACAGCTAGTCCTGGACTTACAACCACAATTAAGCCCAAGATTTCTGTTGCTAAGCAGGACATGGGTTGAGTGAGCTTTTTATCATCTTATGGACCTTTCTTGGCCCCAGTTGTTTCCTGAATCCCTGCAGCTGATAATAACCCAGTTGTTACATGTTGTCGCATGTAACAATGCAGTGCAACCGTCCTAAGTACGTGCCAGTTGCCGAGCATTTGAATGTTGATCACGTGATTCAGCGTGAGGATGCTGCGAAGACTGTAACTGTGAAAAACGCTCACCAGTCACATTTTTCAATGGTGGTGTAACTTGGAACTGTCACTCGATGAACTGTTGTAAGTCAAGGATTACCTGTACAGGAAGTTCTATCCCCCAATAACTGCTGCATGAACGTGACCCTAACTTCCACATTTTTTTTTTGGAATAAATGGAAATTGACTAGCAAGAGAAAGGGGATAATATGGATTCTATTCTAAGGTAAGGGTAAAGGTAAAGGTTCCCCTCCTCGCACACCTTGCTGGTTGTTTCTGGCTCTAGGGGGCGCTGCTCATCTCCCTTACAAAGCCAAAGAAGAGCCAGCGCTGTCCAGAGACGTCTCCGTGGTCATGTGGCCGGCATGACTCAATGCCTTCGAAGGCGCATGGAGCGCTGTTCCCTTCCCACCAAAGGGGGTCCCCTATTTTTCTACTTGCATTTTTTCATGCCTTCGAACTGCTAGGTTGGCAGACGCTGCCGGGACAAGTAACAGGAGCTCATTCCGTTACGTGGCGCTAGGGATTCGAACCGTCGAACTGCCGAACCTTTCTCATCAACAAGCTCACCACGTCCCCCATTACAAGGCCCAGAAAGAGTATATAAAAGGTCCATATTTTCCCCAACTGCCCATGGACTGATGCATGCTGTCTCACACACAATGCCTTCCTAATCCAGAACAACTAGACACAAGAACAGTTTTTTCCCGAAAGCCATCACTCTGCTAAACAACTAATTCCCTCAACACTGTCCAACTATTTACAAAGTTTGCACTACTATTACTGTTAATCTTCTCATCCCTCCCACTTGTGATTGTAGGACTGTGACTTTGTCACTTGTATCCTCACGATAAATATTGACTGTTTCTACTATGATTTGATTGTTTATTGTACCCTGTGACTATTATTAAGTGCTGTACCTGATGATTCTTGATGAATGTATCTTTTATGTACACTGAGAGCATTTGCACCAAGACAAATTCCTTGTGTGTCCAAACACACTTAGCCAATAAAGAATTCTATTCTAATTTCTATTCTATTCTGTTCTGTTCTGTTCTATTCCATTCTATTCTATTCTATTCTAATTCTATTGTACCCAACGACTATCGTTAAGTGTTGTACCTGATGATTCTTGACTTTTGACGAATGTATCTTTTCTTTTATGTACACTGAGAGTATTTGCACCAAGACAAATTCCTTGTGTGTCCAAACACACTTGGCCAATAAAGAATTCAATTCAATTCAATTCTAATTCTAATTCTATTTTTCATTCCTCTATTCTATTCTATTCCATTCTATTCTAATTCTATTTTACCCTATGACTATCATTATGTGTTGTACCTGATGATTCTTGACTCTTGACGAATGTATCTTTTCTTTTATGTACACTGAGAGTATTTGCACCGACAAATTCCTTGTGTGTCCAAACACACTTGGCTAATAAAGAATTCTATTCTTTCTTTCTTTCTTTCTTTCTTTCTTTCTTTCTTTCTTTCTTTCTTTCTTTCTTTCTTTCTTTCCTTCCTTCCTTCCTTCCTTCCTTTCTATCTCTCTCTCTCTCTCTCTCTATTTATCTATCTATCTCTATCTGATTTGATTGCTTATTGTACCCTATGACAATCATTAAGTGTGTTACCTGATGATTCTTAAGTAGTTAAGGCTACTTAACCCTTTACGTGGAGGAATTTCACATATTTCCATGCATTAAAAAGCCAGGCATTTTTTTTTTTATTTCGTAGGCCGTGTGCAAAGCGTGCTTTTTTTAAAAAAGCCAGTCTTTTTTTTTTTTTTAAAGAAAAGCATCCTGTTTTCAATGCTCAAGGGCTCAAATCCTCTCTCGCTACAGCCATGCGATCGGTTAAGATTGCGAACCTGAAGACGCTAAGGGAGCAGCCCGGCTGGTGGGAATTGGCAGAGAGACGCTGGCGGCATTCAGGCCGAGGCTGTGGGTGGTGCTGGCCAGGCTGGTGGCTGGAGAGGTGGTAGCCAGGGTGGCGGCAACCGAAAGAGTGTTGGCGGGCGGGAGCGCGATGGCATTCTCGACACTGTTGTGCTGGAAAGGAAAAAGCGGAGGCGTGGGGTTAAAAAAAACAGAACCAAGGAGACTGCAGCGAGGAAACCGTAAGCTTCGTCAACTACAAAACGGATGTCCCTCGGCGCTCTCTGAGCTTGGTGGTTTTCTTGCAGATGTTTCATGACCCAACTAGGTAACGTTATCAGTGGTAGAAGGGAGAAGAGAAGGAGGAGGAGGATGGAAGGAGGAGGAGGAGGAGAGGAAGAGGAGGAGGAGGGGGAAGAGGAGGAGGACTGTGGGTGTTCTGACCAAGGCTTCCGAGACCGTAATTATCCATGTGCTCATTTTAAAAACAAGTCTTATTTTATTGCAATGCTGGGAATTGTTTTCATTCCTAGCCGGTAATGAATCTCAAACAGTCCCTCGAGATAAGCACCCCCCTTTCTTTCCTGTGAGGTGCTACCAATAACAGAAGTGTCAAATGAACTAGAAAAAACAACAACAACCAAAGTACAAAGAGCTTCAAGAATGAATCTGAACTGAACGAACAACTTTGCTTCCTGCAAAGGTTTCATCATCTTTGCCTGTCTTTTATCCCTTATGGGAGAGGCAATCTCCTCCCAGCCTTACTCCCGAGTCGCCCCTTTTTGTTTCAGCTGCTCTCGCCTTCTAGCAGCTCTGCGCACACGCGCACTGGGAACAGGCTTCCCTTGTTCCTCTGCCTCGCTGCTGCCAGACTCTGGAGGCTCCGGAGTCAGCAATTACTCCCAGATGGCCCCATCTCTGCATTGGACGCAGGCCTCTCAAGACTGGCAGAACGCATCCACAAACGCCAACAGGACAAAAATTCTTTAATTTCACAACATATAGACAGATTTATCCTTTCAATTGGGAAAATGTGACCAGGCCGAGGCCAAAAATGCCAGGGGATTTCTAGAAGCCTGGCACTCTGACAAATCAGCCACCCATAGACACATGGACGTTAACAACATCTATAGACTATGCAGAAGAGACAATCAACCAGCCCCCACCCCCCAAAACAAAAAAACTCCAGCACCTCCAGATTAACTTCAGACCAACAATCCAGTAAATTAATCCCCCCCCCAAAAAAACTGTCAAAGAGCCATCAGCAAACAGCCCAACCAAAGAACTTCTCTCAGCCATTCCTTGTCTTTAAATGAATCCAAACTCCAGCTCCTCTTTAGGACAATGATGGTTTATTCAACATATCAGCAAACAACAAATACTCTAAATCAGGCAAGAAGGGCTAAAAGCCAGGCAAAGTTAGTGTTGGGTTGGAGTTTGCTCTCTTTCCTTTTATTATCATGAGACACACACACCCTACCTCACTCAGGTCTATACCCGGTTCTAGTTCTGGCCACGCCTAACCTATTATCTCTAAATGCTATTAACCCT